ACGTCAAAATCATTATCCTTCATGTTCATTGTAATTGAGCACTGGTCTGCACCATACTCTGTATTCTGTTCTTTAACATCTTTGCCACATAATCTTTTTTTATCATGGCTTACATGCACTTCATATTCTGTTTCTAACCCTGTTTTGAATTCAGTATTTGTAATGCTAGCCCACCATTTCCATTCTGCATGCGCGTATCTAATCTTACGAAGTTTTCTAGTTTTATGTGTTGTCTTGCTTTCAACATTCACATGGCTCACTAGTTCTTCTTCTGCTGGCAGGGACACTGGTGTGTACTGGTCTGGGTAATAATAAGTTGTTTTGTACTCATCTTTGTTGGAGATGGATCTTCCCTCCTTAACCGATGTCACCGAGTCATTGTTCGTCTCCCTGGGATGATGGTCTCATTCCTCCACGCGGCTGCTGTGCCTCTCTGCGCTTGACTGAACTTCTCGTTGCAATGGCGTGTCCTGTGGTGCTGGCTGCAGATTGTAAGAGGTCATTTCTGCTTTTGCCGCTGCTGCTTGGTACACCACCTCTGTCAACATCCATAGTTGAACACTCATTTGTATCAGTTTCATCATTGCAACCTTTCTGCTCATCGTCCTTGTTAGCATTGAGTTCTACTTTGTCTTTGTTATGAATTTTTGAGTCAGATGATGCCACGTGTCACTTCCCTCTAACTGAACAGCCATCACAGTTGTTCTTTTGACCCTTGCATGGGCTTTCCCTTCTTGGTTCATGCCACTTGTAACTGTGTTGGACCATTTTGTTTGCTGAATGTTGGACCATTCTTCACGTTGCTGGACACCACCAGGCCTTCTGGCATCATCGGCCATTTTGTATCCCAGGACAGTCCGCTACTACAAATCCCAGCGGGCACTGCGGCTGATAGGACGGGGTTGTCGCAGCTCTGATGCCACAGTCAACTATATAACAGAGTATGAGACGGCCCACCATTACTTTTCAGCTTGGAACCGAGATGCAGTTACTGGCATCTGAAGCGCATCATTCTGGAGAAGGAAATCCCACATGGACTTTCATTCATTCTCCCCATTGGCCAACAAGAAAACTAAGCGAATTAAGCTTACAGGAATAAGAAGGCTTGTAAGTTTTCAACTTTACCGATTGACGACGTGGATTTAACACGTAACCAAAAAACCGCGGAGGTTTCAAGGAGACAGAATCGCCACCCTTGTTTTTGTTCCAGTCGACTGTTGACGGTCCGTGATACTGCTGTTCTGCCAAGGAAGCCAGAAGAAACGGACCATTCTACTCTGAGTTATCCACGGACGCGTGGAAACTCCCCCCCCCTTTCTCTTCCCTCCTCTGGCCCAAGGAAGACTTCAACAAGTAAAGTCCGTTCGTTCCTTTTATTTCTTTATTAGGAAGAGCCTGGGCAGGATAGAGAAGGATGTTAGTGCGATTTAGAAACGCCACTTATAGTTTAATGTGTTCTAAATTGTATGTGCATGCAACATTTTATTGAAACTTTGATTGCTGTTGATTTCTGAGGCCGCCGAGTCTCGCAAGTTGTGTTTTTACTGTGCGAACACCTGAGCGCAGNCGCCACTTATAGTTTAATGTGTTCTAAATTGTATGTGCATGCAACATTTTATTGAAACTTTGATTGCTGTTGATTTCTGAGGCCGCCGAGTCTCGCAAGTTGTGTTTTTACTGTGCGAAAACCTGAGCGCAGGTGCGCTGCGGAAACAAACTGCTATAATAACCTTATGGTGAAAATCAACCATTTTCTTTGTCTTCAACTTCGTGTTTTATTAGTTGCCGCCAAAAGTTTTACAACCCTTTGTGTGCTCGGACATCCCCAGGGGTGGGGGATGTTTTATGACTTACAGTAACTAAGCTACACTTTGGGAGTGGCCTCCCCGGGCTTCGTTCAACCATATTCCTTTTGTATTTTGCCATAACTGCTATAACTGCTGGTTTGATCTCATACACACTCACATGTTTTATTTTGTTTAGTTAGATATTTTACCCTTTTGTGTAGAACTTTGCATGTTTGATTAGGTGAAGATTATTGAATCGGAAGAGCGAGTAGTATCAGGGCTGTTGATTTAATAAATATTCACATAGATAAAGAGAAGGCGTTTGTGTTTATTTTGTGCAAGAGTGATTTGTCAGTCAAAATAAGGTTAAAGTTCCCCACGTTTCAGCAGAAACGGTTGATTAAACAGTGACATCTAATAATAGTTATCAACTATTACTGAGAATTTAATAATTGTAATTATCAAGGGCTTTGAGCCACAATTACAACACCAGAGGACATCTCTGGTTTCGATTCATAAATGAGGATTTTTGGTTAAGAAATTAATTTTCTCAAATTATGATTTTTAATTATAATTCTTGATAAATATTAATTAATCAATAATCATGATCCCAACACCTTCACGTACACCAGATCTCCAGGCTCCACCGGTTTGTTCACCACTGTCTCTGGACTGGAACCTTTGGCTTTTTCCTGCAAATAGATGGCTCTGTGGATAGCAGTTAGTTGTTCCATATAAGCCTTCAACTCTGTTTGCAACTGTTCAAGGGCTGGCCCCTGAATGGTAGCCTCCATTGAGGGACAGGCATAGGTCTGCCAGTTAGCATTTCATGTGGTGTTAGATGCGTACTCCTATGCATTTGTATGCGATAGCTCATTAGTGGAAGTGACAAAGCGTCTACCCAGTTTGGCTTAGTTGAGGCACATATTTTGTTCAGTTTAGCTTTCAATGTTCCATTTATTCTCTCAACCATTCCCTGGCTCTGGGGATGGTAGACTGCACCAAACCTTTGTTTGATCCGTAACTGCTCCAAAACTCCTTTGACTGTTTTCTGCACAAATGCTGAGCCGTTGTCAGAACTTATTTCCGATGGGATCCCAAATGTGGGAATCACTTCTCTTGCTAAGAATTTGATAACAGTATCTGCTCCCAGTGTTTTTGATGGGATGGCTTCAACCCATCGACTGAAACGATCAATCACTACCAGCATGTACCGTTTACCCTGAACTGGTTTGATCATTTTCTACAAAATCTATCACAAGATGTTTGAATGGTCCCTCAGGGACCGTAATGTGTCCAATGGGTGATTTTATGCCTTTGCATAAGTCTTCTGGCATTACCAAAGGCTCCAATGACACTATAGGTGCCAAGAAAGCCATCTGGCATCGGGATGCCATTTTTGCCGCTCCGTCTGCTGCGTTATTACCTCTTATGACTACTTCATTACCTTTGCGGTGTCTGACACTTTGTTACTGCCAGTTTTGAGGGGAGCATCATTGCCTCAATTAACTGCTGTAGCTGCTCTTTATGTAGAACTGGACTGCCATCTGCTCTTTTGAACACTCTTTGCTTCCAGACTGAAGCAAACAAATAGCAAACTCCATGATCATAAGCATTGTCGAGCTTTGTACTATAATAAGCAATGGCTTGTTTTCGCCGACCTGCACAGCTTTCCTGCATCAGTACTGCTGAGACGTACATATGTTCTCTGTTTGCCACATATAGGTAGAATTGCTTGTCATAGTCTGGTATTGCCAGAGTGGGTGCCACTTGCATTTCCTGTTTTAGTGTTTCAAAAGCTACTTTTGCCTCAGCTGTCCATTTCAACATGGTTTTCAAAGACTGATTTCCTGATTCTTTCATAAGCTCTCTTAACTGTGACGTTTTTTTCTGCATAATCTTCTGTCCAGTCTGCATTAAAGCCTGTGATTCCAAAAACGTCATCATCTCACCAACTGTTTGTGAGCATGGTGCTCTGCTGACACCTTCGAGTTGCGAAGGCGAAATGCCAATGGTTCCTTGTGAAATCACTCTGCCCAGGTATTCTACCTGCGGCTGACAATATTGAAGTTTTTCCTTTAAGGCTTTATTACCTCCTTCAGCCAGTCTCTGAAGGACTTTCATTGAGTCTTGATGACAGTCTTCCAATGTGGGTGCACAAATTAATAAATCATCAACATACTGCATGGATGTGCTGTGAAGTTTCAACTCTTCAAGATCCTGTTTTAGGATGTGGTTGAACACATGAGGGCTGTGTTTGAACCCTTGTGGTGAGCGAGTGTAACTGTACTTTTTACCTCTGTATGTGAATGCAAACAAGTGTTGAGACTCTTCTGCTAAAGGGATGCTGAAAAACGCAAAACAGAGATCGATGACACTGAAAAACTGCTTCTGGTGGAAGAGCAGTTAGCAGAGTGTTTGGATTTGGCACATCTGCAGGCCGATCCTGAACAACCTGACTGAACAACTTAAATTATGAACCAGACGATATTTTGATCCATCTGCCTTTCGGACTGGAAATATTGGTGTGTTACACTGACTGTTTGTTTCTAACAATACCTCTGCTTTTAGCAGTCCTTCAATAGTTCTGCTAATGCCTTTTTCTGTTTCAACCTTTAAAGGGTATTGTGGACAGTATTGAAGGTCTAAATTTGGTTTCAACTCAACATTAAATGGGTTGGCCGATTTTACCAACCCCACATCTGTATCATATTTTGACCACACATGATCTGGAACATGTTTTCGCATGTCCTGCACAATCAAATCTCCTTTTGACAACTCGTTTTCCTCAGATGTATTTGTGTCATTAGCAGGCACTGTTACCACTTGTGGTTTGGATTCCATCAATGTTTCGCTTACAATCTTAATCATTGTTGCATACTGTGATTGGAAAATTAATAGATTATCTGTTTTCTCCCATTTGATTGTGGTTGCAACTTTCATCATTGGTCCCAAGTCTTTTGCATGAAAATTTTTGTTTACTAACAAGGTTATGTGTCGCACAGTTTCTGGAACATTATATCATTTGAATATAAAATAATTTGTTTCCGCATTTATTCCTGCCCCTTGTGTACCAATAACAATGTATTTGGTCACCAGGTTCATATTTAATCCTCACGTGCTGCTGTCCCATTGTTCCTCAAACTCTGTGCTTTTTGAAACCTCATAGAACATCGTACAATAAGAGTCCAAAAAAGGGCTTTTTTGGGCACAGCGCCGGTGGTGTAGGGGTTTAGCATGTGACCACACATAGAGGCTATAGTTCTCAAAACGGCTGTCCCGGGTTCGAGTCCTGGACCTGGCGACCTTTGCCGAATGTGTCCCTCTCTCTTTGCCCCTCCTTCCTCTCTACCTACTATCTGAAATAAAGGCCTCTAGTGCCGAAAAAATTCTTAAAAAAAAAAAAGGTTTTTTAGCTTCTGGAAGTTGGAGTTTAATGTACTGGTCCCACTTAGAAATCACATCCCCAACTGGGCTGTTATTGTCTCCTAGCCAATAAACGTTTGCCTCATGCGCCTGCATGAACATTTGCAGATCTAGACCTTCTTTTTGAACATACACTCCTTAAGGGGAACACCAAATTTTTATTTCGAGTTTACACAGAGCATCTCTGCCCAACAAATTAATTGGGGTTTGGTCAGAGACTAAAATTGATATTTTTATTTCATCATCTTTAGTTGCCAGCCGTACAGAGCTGTCATTTGGATTAGTTTCCCGAGAACCTTACCGTCAATATAAATTTGCTCTTGTATCGACTAACATTGGTGTTTTTTTTATTTTCTATTTGAATTTTTAGCATTGGCTCATTTTCAGCACCCGTGCTTACAACTGGGTACTGCCTCTACCCTGTAGAGCTCTCTGGGCACCCCTAGTAGCCAAAATTTGGCGTGTTAGTTGGCCCTCTCGGGGGACCAGGCTTGGCCCTGCCACGCAGTACGGATCCTGTCATTACAGCATTGTTCAGCACGATATCCGGGTTCGTTGCATGTCCAGCATCTCCCAACTATTCCAGGTGCAGCATTTCGCCCTGTTTGCCCATGGGGAACCTCCAAATGGTTGTGAATTCAATGCCGTAGGATAGACATTTACTACCGGTTGCAGTGACAGGGCTGTTTGATAATTTGCAGGATCCACCTGTGATTTACGTACCACATCAGGAAAAGGTGCTGTAGGTGTTGTAGATGAGATGTAGGTGTGTTCTTCCCTTTTCACCATTACAGCATGTGTTTTGGCTTCAACTTTTCCCTTAAGCTCTCCGAGCTGCAATTGAACCAGCTTTCTTTGTATATTTTTGTCTTGTTCATTAAGCCTCTGCTCATCTTTTCTATATTTTCTTACATTGTGCACCACATGATCTCGAAACTCTTTGTGTGGCATTGATGTCAGAGCAACAACATCTTTGAGTTTGTTCCACACAGGTGTCATGAGTAGAGGACTCTTGTCAATGTCCTGTTCCGCATCCTGTTTCCATCTCTCCAATTGTTTAGAGATGTATGTCGCTGGGTTTTTGTTTGTCACCGAGTGGTTCCCCTTTCAGCGCTCTGGGGTCTACCCTTGCTGGGTAAATTCCATCTGCTCGATGATGATGAAGCATCCAAACAGTTTCGTTTCAAATGTTTTTCATGGTTGCAGTCCCAAGACATTGTCCCCAAACTGCTTTAATGTCTCCCAATGCCACCAGTTTCCTTACTGTTTCTTCTTCAAATTTTGTTATCCACTTGTTTGCACCTTCATGTACATCTGGCAACTGGGTGACCAATCTGACCAAGTCCCCAGAGGCCCAAGGAACATATTGGGTTGTATTTCCTTTGACCAAAATTGGCAGCTGTCTTACATTTGCGTATCTGTCAGGTGGATGAATATTAGGCCAATAGCATAAATCCTACTGCCTATCATTTTGTTCTCTGTTTATTTCTGACCCTTCAGCGGGCTGCCCTACCACATTTGCAGCCTCTGCTTGTCCTACAGCTAGTCCTTCTGGTTCGTTTAGGTTAGAATGGTGATTGTTAAGTTGTTGTTCTATTTCTTGAATGATGGTTCTATCTATTTCACGTCTTAAATCAAGCCTAGTATGATCCAAATTGATCCAGTACGAATCACCTCCTGGTCTTCCAGTGTGTTCCGCATAACAATTATTCTCATCCTTTCTTGTCCGTTGTTTACTGGGAGTACTCTCTGTGTTGCAGATAGTTTGAAGAGTGAGGCCTTACTACTGAGCTAAAGCAGTTAACACAATACTCGGAGTTCTCTCTCCTCCCAGCCCTCATGGGGGGAATCTTTATTTCTCACAATACACAAAACACCATCAAAAATTCCAGAAGTTCCCCGCTTCCAGCTCTTACAGGACATTTCTATACAAATACAAAGGAGTAGTGTATATATGGTCCTCCTGACCAGTCAAATTTACCATCTTCATTTACGCACAAATTCTGGCACCCATAACATTGATTCTCAAGCGCAGTTACAGGAATACCAGCATCACATCAGGAATACCAGCATCACATCTGCAAGAAATCAAACCGGTCTACGTGACAGTTGTACCACAACAATTTTATTACTCTTATCAACTCTTCATTCCAGAGCTGAACTAGACCACCGTTTTGTCCCTTTTTTGTCCCAGCAAGACTCGACTCCCAGGAACATTTTTTCTCAGACGCACAAGCACTTTTTAACCACATAAATTGCTTCCACAATCACTGCAGGAAGGCTCCTCTCCTATGTGGATTTTCACGTGTCTGTTTAAAGTAGATTTTCTGCTGAATCTTTGCGCACATAGATCACAACAGAAAGGTTTCTCTCCTGTGTGGATTCTCATGTGTGTATTTAAATATTGTTTTGGCTAAATCTTTGTCCACATACATTACACCAGAAAGGCTTCTCTCCTGTGTGGATTCTCATATGTCTAAAGGTGCTATTTGGTTAAATTTTTGTCCACATATATCACAGCAGAAAGGTTTCTCTCCTGTGTGGACTCTTATGTGTCCGTTTAAATATGCTTTTTGGCTAAATCTTTGTCCGCATAGATCACAGCAGAAAGGTTTCTCTCCTGTGTGGATTCTCATATGTGTGTTTAAAGGTGCTATTTGGCTAAATCTTTGTCCACATATATCACAGCAGAAAGGTTTCTCTCCTGTGTGGACTCTTATGTGTCCTTTTAAATATGCTTTTTGGCTAAATCTTTGTCCGCATAGATCACAGCAGAAAGGTTTCTCTCCTGTGTGGATTCTCATATGTGTGTTTAAAGGTGCTATTTGGCTAAATTTTTGTCCACATATATCACAGCAGAAAGGTTTCTGTCTTGTGTGGATTGTCACGTGTGTGATTAAATGTGTTTGTTGGCGAAATTTTTTTTCACACTGATCACAGCAGAAAGGTTTCTGTCCTTTGTGGACTCTTATGTGTGCGTTTAAATCTGCTTTTTGGCTAAATCTTTGTCCGCATAGATCACAGCAGAAAGGTTTCTCTCCTGTGTGGATTTTCATGTGTCTGTCTAAATTTTGTTTTAGGCTAAATTTTTGTCCACATACATGACAGCAGAAAGATTTCTCTCCTGTGTGGATTCTCAAGGGTCTGTCTAAATTTTGTTTTTTTTGCTAAATCTTTGTCTGCATAGATCACAGCAGAAAGGTTTCTCTCCTGTGTGGATTCTCATGTGCATGTTTAAAGTTCCTATTTGGCTAAATCTTTGTCTGCATAGATCACAGCAGAAAGGTTTCTCTCCTGTGTGGATTTTCATGTGTCTGTCTAAATTTTGTTTTAGGCTAAATCTTTGTCCACATACATGACAGCAGAATGATTTCTCTCCTGTGTGGATTCTCAAGGGTCTGTCTAAATTTTGTTTTTTTTGCTAAATCTTTGTCTGCATAGATCACAGCAGAAAGGTTTCTCTCCTGTGTGGATTCTCATGTGCATGTTTAAAGT